AAATTTTGGCCAGGTTTTGACTTCCCTATAAACTTAGTATACATTTTCTGCTTTAAATGAAAAATGCAAACTATTCTATGTAAATCGGAGCATTCTTCAGCATATGTTTTGCTTCTAGACTCAGTTCTAAGATACAAAAAGCAGAGCAGAGTGGTAGAATATGAACGAAGATTTTGAGAACACTTATCATCTTCTGCCCGTTCCGTTACAATGTTTTCTATTAACTAATTCTACCTTGTAGATTAAAAATTGCTCGGGCATATTTTCCATAGAGCTTGATAGAGAAACATGACGGCATGTCTTGTGGGTATATATATGCTTGTTTATGGTCGTTACTTTCTGTGGGATATAGAAAATAACAGCCTTATAAATTTTTTACTCAAGTTTATGACACAAAGCTTCACAGATGTGAAAAATATAATTTTGAAACTAAACTCACTTTTCTTTTCCCAAAATAATGCGCTATCTCATAATTACCCAAACCTCAATTTTTGAAACGAAGACTAAACTCTCTGCTCTCTGAACATATATAATTAAAAAGGTTTCCGATTTTTATTAATGTTCTTTTATAGTACAACACGCAGAAACAAGGATATTTTTCCGCGGCGTTTAATAGCTTAAAAGATCCCATGGACATCAAAAAACTTTGGATTTGGCCAGATTTGGCCCCGTTTTGCCCTCAATATACTGATCTCAACGGAATTCTTCGCTAGTCAACAGCATTTGCACCTTAAACCAATTCGATTAACAAAATAAGCAAACTCAACTGTGTGGTTAATCACGCGAACAAATTTTACTCTTCATATTTCATCAGATATGCAATCTACTGTTTTTAGTATAGTCGTTGACTTTAAAGTTGGAAGTCAAATTTTCATTTCATTTCGCCGTTTTTTTCATTTCCCACTTTTCCAGACGTCAGCACATAATCTCCTTTAAGTATAAATTAAAACAGGCACAAAGAAATCGTTCTATCACCGGTAGAACAAATGGGCTAACCTATCACCAGTAACACCAGGACAAAAATAAATGAGAGGGCATATAACTAAATGTAAAAGTGAAATCAAATGCAGTCCAATATAAATGTATCATAAAAATCATTATCCTATCATTCAAAACGGTCAATTATCAACATATGAGGTGATCCTGCTGGGGAATTCATGTACACTACTGCACTAAATTTATGCATATATGGCTAATCTGCCATAATATTAAACGCTGCGGTCTACATTTTTAAATTTTTTTACTGTTTAACTAAGAGCAAATGTGCACGACCTTCTTTGGGACCATATATGGCCAGGTTAGTATAAGTTGGTTACGAAAAGAATGCATGTTGGACGTTTTTCTAAATGTAATGTTGGGTGTCAGTAGACCTTACTGCCATTAAAAAATGGATAAGCTATTTAGCCAACTTGAATTTACTGCAATACCCATACAGCGTCAAGTGTCATAGCGAAACGTAAGTGGACGTTAAAGTTAAATAACCTAATCCTTATATAATATGCAATTAATATTAAGGAAAAATACGTTTATCTCCTACATTAAAAGGTAACCTTATACAAAAAATTCACTTACACCGTCTCAAATGGGAACAGTAAATTTTATGGCCGAATTTGCTTCTTTAATTTTTGTAAAACTAAAGACTGTCAGTTTTTTTAATCATCTTAAAATGTGTGACTTCCGCCAAGTAGCTAGAAGAAGAGAACTATAAAGGGCTTTCCATCAGCGGAACACTAAAGGGAAGGGCGTCTTCCGTTTGTAGATGACTGCCCTTGTTTTTCGGATAGCACGCAATCCTTTGCCGAAAATGTAAGTCGAAGAATACTATTGTTGAACTATCTTAAAAAACGTCTCCGACAAACGACTAACAGTTTTTGAGGGCGACGTATAGCATCAATAATAAACTTGGTCTTAAATAGACTGACATTGTAGGTTATATCATCGCATGCAGACATATATAGTCGTACAAAAACTGTCCTGTCTCAAATAAACCATGTTTAAGTACGATGACTAGATTAAAAATTGGCTGCTTTGACTGTGTGATGTGTTTAGGGTTTACATGCCCATATTAGACATAATAACACATAGTGCTCTTATATTCACGATTTCCTGAAAGAATGTTTTCACGTTTTATTAACTTCAACTGTAAAAACACTTTGTAAGAATAACCAGTTTGAGCCACCTATTTCTATTTCAATTAAGATTTTGCCCAGACTTGAATAAAGGCCGTCGGATTTAATTTAAATATAATGCTATTATACACGTAAGGAGTGATTGATGCATCTGTTCAAATTTGACACCAGCGAGCAACATTTAGACGATAAATATGCATATTTGAAAAATTATATTATGCTCTATACGTAGCACTCGTATTAGGTTATTATACCCTGTGGTCATTCGTTTTGGCATTGACACTTACTTCTAGCATTTGCACAGTCTATGTAACACGTAGGAAAACTTTGTTTGGGAGCTGAGGATAATCCTATTCAGTGCCCTGAAACTATTGCGATTTTTTCCAACAATGCCTATGGAAAGTTAACCCTGAATATTTATATGCGGTCTGTGGGTTTATTGTACCCTAAGTAGAATTAAACAACATGAGTCATGCATAATGGATGCATTTCGAGAATATTTACTCATGTTTTGTTGAAGTTTGAAATCTGCACGTTCAATTATTATAACAGGTTTAATCGATCAATTTTTATAAATATCTGAATAGAAAGGCTTTTTATCGGAAATCGCATATTATCTGATCTTCAACGATTCCTGTCTTTTCGAAGAAGGCAGCTTATGGAAAAGTTTGCTCTATTTGAAATGAAACCCAATGCCTCAGCTTCGAGAAATAGATTGCGAAATATTGAGATATATTGCATGATATATTTGTTAACGCAAAACAGAGCAGCTGACTGACCACGGTGTTCCAAGTATTTGAATTATGATTTATCAAAACATGCGCATACAGTGAAGACTTTATGTAAAAGGAATATTATTAAAAATTAAGTTCCTAAAAAACGATACAAAAATATTCTTAAGTTGTAGCCTCTTTTCACCTTGGAAAATTACTTGTGATTATTGTTTCCTCGAATACGATTATGTCGTCAAATCATTCTACGCTCGCAGCTGTATCGCGCATCAAGTATACACATTTATTTAAATCCACATATGAATTCTTTGTATACTGAAGATAATAATGTAATAAGTTATGCATGGTACTGATAGTTTATGCCGCACGGTTGCGGGTAGGTAATTAACTCCTCTCTATAAGATGTAGTCAGCCACCGATTAAAGGCAGTCGTCGGGTTTTGATCCATAAGGATTAAATTAAATTTTATTTAAAATTTACAGCGGAGATTTTGCACTGGAAATCCATTCTTTGTGTGATTTCACTTTTGACAAAAGACGTCTGAGTCAATAACGTCATATCGAAGCCGAGTCTGACTCTTATTGTAGATGTATTTTAGTGCACATTTCGAAAAACAATTTGCAGTTCATAACTGCCGGTTATTTTAAATATAAGATTTTTGGAGTGCAATTTACACATTCTATTAAAAAATAATTAATACAGAGCTACTTTGTATTCCACCGAACACATATTAGAAATATTTCTTAGCTGCAGCGGGAAAATTTGATTCTTGTGTCATCGCAATATGACAGATTGCGTGGTCACATTCTGTCCACCAGGTTTAACACTGAAATTGCTATAGAAATACAGTATTTCAGTGGCATTGTGTTCGCAGTTCTGAGCGATGCAATGTCTGACATATAGCATACCAATGATAGTTTAGATTAAAAGATTAATATCAAATTCAGTAGCAAAAGGTCAGCTCCTGATTCTGCGAGGCCGAACAAGTTAGCCAGTAGCTTTACTCACAAAAAATTAAATATTGGAACATCACTGTGGGTACCTAAGCACGCATATACATGTTTGGTATTTTCAGTTTGATGAGAAAGTAAAATCAACCGAAACGTGTAAATTATTGATTCATCTCAACAACTAATGGCCACGACACCGTCCAATTGATGGCTGACAACATGTTTAGGTTTCTGTTTTGCATATTTTATATAGTTTTTTCGTTTAAAAAGACAAATTTAAATGGCAAACGAGGGTTTAGGATTTTTATTGATAAAGAGGTTCGGACCGTTAATGTTACGAAACATACTGCTCAGTCGTAAGGGTGCACAGTGGCTTACAGTATAGGCAGTACACAAAGTAATAGGATTCTGCGTTCATGGGCAGGTGTTCGTCAGGTTTTCGGCAAACAACCTGAGACATAAATTATAATTTGGACAGTCATTATTTAAATGTATCCTCCGAATGATCTCATTAGCTGCCGGCGTTTTCTATGTTTTTTAGCTGACGTTATAATATAACATCAGTTTAAAACTGTCAACTAATTTGCTTATGGCGTATTTATTGAGGTCGCTTACCCTCTCCAATCTGAACTTATCGCTGCGAAGTCTTCCCGTATTACGCCCTGAAGCTTCCGTCACATGCCTTGCTGTAAATCGGCATATCCGCACTATGTACTCCCATTCCTAGCGCGTGGGAAGAAACGGATATTCCGAAGTTGAAAGCTGACCTGTCTTTATCACAGATGTGAATATCGTTAAGGCCTTTAAGTTAAGTATTTTATGACCTCTTGCGCTAACTTTAACCTTACCTTCTCCCTTGCTCTCTGTGAATTGAGCCATGTTTGCCGAAATTTTTGAATATTACCTTCAAAATAAAGCATTTTTCTCCATTTGTTGGTTTTTTTTTACAGATTTATTCTGTTCGTGTGGAAAAGTGATATGATTGTTTGCCGAGTTTAAGACCGGATCAGAAAACGTAAGTGAAACAAATTGAATTTAAGGCAGGAAAATATGGTAAGTAAGGGTAAGAGGGTTTTTTTAATGGGGTTTTTTGCTACAAAATACTTTATGTCTTTTGCTTGTTAACTTAATAACCAGCTAGCTTGATTGGTATATATGAGGACGAGAGTAAAATAATAATTTTAAGGGGATTAGTAGAAGATCTCACCGGACATCTTGAGATTTGTGGTCCGTGTGTTATTGGGAGACTCCTCTGCGGTCATGCTTCGTTTTGAAGGTTCACATTTGCCTTCGTATACCAGGCCAAGAGACGGAAGTGGAGCTTTTTTGTTGGAAGTGCGGAAAAAGCGCCGGCAATGCAAAAGATGCCTGCGCGTTCGTTTTAGAATTATTGTCTGAAAAAACAGTAGTATGCATAGGATACAAACTATTGCCCAAACTGCCAGCATGTACATTTTAAAATTGTCACTTTTTCTTGTTGTACCGTCTAAAACGTTTTTGCTGTCCACAGACCGCGGACACTCGGTTTTAGCAGTGACTCCCACTGTCAGGGTAACACGGAAGTGCGTACAGTTGGCGTCCATACTTCCTGACTGCACACTGACACGGAGGACTGTTGGTGGTACGGATGGCCAGATTGCATCTGTCATCACTAAATGAAGTGTTTCGCTTTGATTACTATCTGTTGCGTTCAAATGTCTGATAAGGTGCAGTTGCCCAGTACTTGCAGAGAAGTTGAATGAACCCGTCAGAGGCGAGTACTCTGCGCTGCTACAATTTTCCACTTCAATTTCAACTTCAGAAAGTCCAGGAATACGCTCATTATCCACTGTCAGAAATGTAAATGGAAGGTCGGTAGAAGTAGTCGGTGATGTATCATTATCGTTTTGCAATAGCGGTAGGTTGTAATCTAAGGTTGATGCGCAGGCTTCAAAACTGCCATTGGTTTTGATCCACTGGGCACATTCAACTAAATTCCTTTGGTTTTGGCTCACGAGAAACTGCTCATTTAATCGTAGCGTGGGGAATTTTGTTGTCAAATCAAATTCTTGAAAGTTAAGGATGACTTTTGTCATCTTCTGTGGCAGTCCTTGGTCCCAAGCGGTGACCGTCGCCAATGTCCTGCACTTATTAAAGTCCGTTACTAGGCCTGCGCCAATCGATAACACACCCGAGCTGTTGTTAATGTCAACTGGATCTCTAAACTTTGCTAAACAGTCACCTGTATCTTCCGGAACTGCGCTTTTGAAGGAAAAGTCAAAGGATATTTTGCCGGCAAGTCCAGCATCCTTATCCGTTGCCTGAATTTGGCCAATGACCATACCAAATTTTCGGACTTTTGGAATGTAAAATGGAATGTGTGTAGTTGGGCCATTAGATTCAGAAGATACGTCCACTTCCTGAAAGGGAGATAATGATCCGATGAGTCCGAAATTTAGAATCTGTATGCTTGGTGCATTTAGATTTTCGTGCGTGACTACTGTGTAAAAGTCCATGTTGGTGTTCAAGGAAGGGAGACCTAAGTCACCCACAGTCAATGTGACTTTTAGCAAACGGGTCTGCTGCATGAAGTCCAAATTCCTTTTAAGAAATATGTGCCCTGTCAAAGTGTCAGCCTCAAACAACTCGGCGTGGTATGGTTCATTTTCGAAACCAGAGTTTTCAAAAACGGACAGTCGATATTCAAGTTTCGCATTATTTTCAGTATCGCGATCAGTCGCCGGTATGCGCAGAAAGGGCTGATTTATTGCCAACCGCTTAGGCAAGCATATAAGCAAATGGCATTTTGCCAGAATTTCTTCCAGGGAGTCCATGAACTCGGGTTTATCACCCTTCCACGAATCGAGAACACTCTTTTCCACCTTCCAGGCGGGTTTTATGACCTCTGGCCTGCCAAGCACGGGTGGGTTGTCGTTTTCATCACTGATAAAAACATTTATAATATTACGCGTTGAACGCTGAAAAGGTGTGCCTGAATCATAGCACGTGAGTACCAGACGGTAGAACTGCTGTCGCTCAAAGTCAATAGGCTCAGACAGCTGTAGGTGATATTTTGTAATTTGGTAGGATTGTGCAGTGCTGTTGTTATCGGCGGCTCCGGACACGATGAGTGATGCCGGCTGCACTGGTTTAATGGCAAAGATATCACTGGGAAGCGCACAAGCGACAGACCCATTACTACCAGCATCAGGGTCGAATGCATCGATTTCTGCCAGGTCTTCATCCACTGGTAGATTTTCAGGAAGCATGATCTCGAATTCCCGAATTTCCTTGGCGTTAGTGTTGCCAGTGCTGACTTCTCTAATCTGGACAGCCGTTTTTAGTGTCCGAATTGCTACCCTGGGAGAATTATCATTCATGTCCAAAACAGTTATATGAACAATTGATTCGGATGACCTTGCAGGAGATCCGTGATCTGTTGCCTCAACGTACAGGGAGTAGGCTGCTTTCCGTTCCCTGTCTAAGGATCCATTTACTGTTATCACACCCGTAACAGCATTGATACTGAATGGCGTGTTCGTGTCTACGGACGGATAGAAGGGGTTTTCTGAAAGACCTCTGGGCTTCGGACGAAGGGAATAAGATACGCGAGCATTCACTCCAACATCCCTGTCTTTTGCTTCAAATCGTCCAACAAAAGTACCTCGAGGCACATTTTCCTCGATCTGCAGGTTATAAACTGGACAAGAAAATTCTGGTTTCATGTCATTGCTGTCCAAGACCTCAATTAGAACATGCAAAGTCCCAGTTTTCTGAGTAGGTCGGCCAGCATCTTTCGCTAGGACCAGTAGACGATAGGCGTTTCTCCTTTCGCGATCTAGTTCGCCGTTCACCTGAAGATAAAGCAAACCCTGGCTATTCGGTGGATCTTCCATTACAGGTTTTTGGATCAGATGAAAAACACTGGAACAGTTGGGACAGCGCTGCCAATCGGCACTTTTTGTCGACTTAGCAAACATATCGCCAAGAAGGTAGGTGATACGACCATTTTCGCCCATATCCGCGTCGCGTGCAGGTGGCAGTTGGAAACTAGTCCTGGACTCACGACCCTCAGTGATGCGTAAGGAATACTCCGACTGACTGTAGGTAGGGGTGTTTTCATTCACGTCAAATATCCGGACCTCAACCAGAAAAACGGGGAAGGACTGCTGTCGTTGGGCTGGGGAAAAGAGACCGACAGTAGGCAAATTGGAATGGCCGCCGATCATGGCCAGTTGGAGTTGAAATGAGCAAAAGAGAAGAGAGGTATCACAACAACAGGTACGTCCCCGCATGGCTGCTTGTGTGGTCTTCGCGCAGTCTTGTCCATAAATGCGAATTTTGCAGGCATCCTCCAAATCAATGGACTTCTGGAGGTTCAGATAGCATGCAGTCAGAAACTCCCGACCATGTTCAGTCCGTGTCCGTCGTTGAAGTTGGAAGTACTCCGAGAAGGGCTGTGTTGAGGGAAAAAAGACGATGGCTGAAAGGTGGCTAGCGTTGGCACCGCTGGATGAAATTGATTCAGTGGCGGTGAGGAGGGGAAGTAAGTCTCCCAGTGTCTGGGGTCCAGGAGTTTCTTCCACGATACTGTACAGCGCAAGGGGGACAAAGCTTGCAGGCTCTGTCATTGCGAATGCGCCCGACGCTTGGTTGGAAGACGAGGAAGGATGTAAGGGCATGCAAAAAATAAGGAACAGCAATCTCAGCATACTAGCTCGTCGCTTGAGCATGGACTCAGGACGAGGTTGTGGAGGACGATTTTCCTTCGCTGCATTTTTATTTGTACAGACCGGCTGTTTGGAAATCACAAAAACGGTCTCGACACGCGGTAGTGCATCGAGAACTAGTCGGCAGCGGAGTGCAAGACTACAGACTCTAAGGACAAATGAACTAGAGGTAGTCAGAATGTGTTGGTTGGAGGAGCAGAGACGTGCGTCCGCCTTCCGGCATTCCTCAAAGTCGCAGGAAACGAACGATGTCCAGTTGGCCGAATTGTGATGAAACCAGTGTTCGCACTTATCTCCCACACGCCCGTCAGCCGCGCGCTTACTAACGGACGCGTG